TTAGGTCATCATATGGATCGGATAACTCGTATATTCAGCTTCAATATTCCATATTTAAAATCTCGATTCGATCATTTGGCGTGGAGATATCAGATTTTGAATGAAAAAGGATCCCTTTGTCATCGACCATTGATATCCCGGTAACCAGTGATGGCACAGAGAATGTAAAGGTATTTCTGAAAACTGGAACTGGAATAAACCTCCAATAAAATTTGATTGATGTTTGATGATTTTTTTTGGGTGTGCTCAGTATTGATTTTAAAAAAGTCAAAAAACTTGTTTTGGAAAATCTACCGATTTTTTTGGAACTGCCAATGAGAAGGCTAATGTTTTTAGGTTTTTTATACCTCAATGTACCCCTAATAACCATGCACGATGTCAGATCGGTCCACGGTACGATTTATCCGGACCGATTGGTCAAAATTTGCCTTCCCAGGTGTCTCAAAGTACCACTTATCAAACTATGTATTAGTCTGGAACATGAATTTTGAATTTCTTGTAAACGTGAAAGAGATATTGTATCTAAAAATGGATTGCAAACTATATCACAGTAAGTAATTTTGGACATAATGATTCGCATGAGATTGGTTCAGTTTGATAATCGAGGCTTTGATTATTCAGAAATAACTCACGTAAGATCGGAAATCAGTTTTAATTTGTTTACATGAGGTATGAATTTGAGACACTCATCAAAAAGAATTCCCAAATTTTTGACCGCCTCATTAACTTAGCACCATCTAAAGTAGCATTGAAGTTGTTTTCAGCATGATTTACTCACCAATCTGGTACAGTTCGTACAAAACAATCACTGATCACAACACAAACTGCACTGTGAGGATACCGCGAACAGCATTATTTGTTCAAAAGCGAATTAGCAACGATGCTGCAAGCTGTTGTCTATTTGTTTGCATTAATTGTTATACCCAAGGTTTATCCCCATCATTGTATTCTTATATCGCGGCCTTTATCCATCGAAAATAGCTATTTGCAAGTTTTTTCTTTCACCTACTTCTTTGAAGATGACGGCACTCTCATCTCGTGTGCGGTGAACGATTCAAATGTAGTTTTGAATTGTGCTTAGTAAATTGAGTATGTGGCGTACGCCCACTTCCAGTGAAATATTGATATGGTTTATCTGACCAGACTGCTGCATAAATGCACTCTCTGATATGATTTAAACAGCATTTTAGTTCTTTTTTATAGGATTTTATGGTAAGAGTTTTCGAACATCTTCTATTTTATAGTCATCCGAAATACTTTGTGGTTCATGTGATTTTGTGAGGCATAAGCGGGATAAATATTTTGCAGCTCAAAAATATATCTAGGCTTTTGAATTTCGAAAATGAAATATTCTTTTCTGGATGTTATCTGACGTGTACATCACGAAAAACCGTGTCATGTCACTCATTCTGTCTGTCCGTTAAAGTTTTGTAGTGTTTGATAAACGGACAGTGGCGACGGCGTGAATGGCTAAAAACGAAAAAAATAAAAATGCTCAAACTTTTTTTTTCACGTTTCAGAGGGTCCTGATCATTTTCAGAAAAAAATTTAGGTGTTAAAAATTGGAGGTTGGGTTCGGGGAGGATGTCTCTCAATTCTTCTTATGTTGGTATATTAATACACATCATAGATCTTCCCGTAAATTTCGCCTTAGAAATATTTCCAGCAGACGGATCCGTCACCTATCGATTGCACTAAAAGTGCGCCAAGGGGTTGTAAATAATGCATCTTTGGTAGTCGGTCCGAGTGACTTATAAAAGCAAGTAGCAGACGGCGCGGCGATACGATATGCACATACGAGGTGGGCGCGATATTAGCTATATATGGTGTCCGCAAAGTTGGGGTTTTCCTTTACACGACGTGTAGATCTTGAAAACATAAGCAATTTTTCTTAGTACCATATACACCAATGTCTTAAGGGAACCAAGATAAAGGGCTCTGCAACATCAAAAATATCTGAATACCGTCCTGTAGCCGCGACATCCCCGAGTGGTACTAGGACACTAGCTCAACCCGACGTCAGAACTGGGTCGGGGCAGTGTGTCAGGTCAGCATGCAACCTTCAACCGACGGTTACGGTCACGCGTGTAGAGGTAATCGCGTAGACGAGAATCCCTCAACAAGCACTAGAGACGTGGCTAGAGAAGTGCAAGTATCAAAAACTAAAGTGTGGCAAACGCTGCGTGAAGAGGAGCTATATCCGTTTCACGTCCAACGTGTACAAGCCCTTCAACCTGACGATTTTTCAGCAAGAGTGCGGTTTTGTGAGTGGTTGTTGCATCAACATGACAATAATCCGGACTTTTTGAAGTGCATATTGGTGACAGACGAATCTACGTTCACGCGTAATGGGGTGAATAACTTTCGCAACACTCATGTTTGGTCAGTAGAAAATCCGCACGCTGTCCGTCGGGCACATTTTCAACAAACATTTTCGGTGAATGTTTGGGCTGGCATGGTGAACGGTATGCTCATTGGACCATTTATTCTCCCACATCGATTGGACTGGATGCAATACCTAGACTTTTTACGCAAAATTTTGCCTTCCTTGTTTGCCTGCGTCTGCTCGGTAGCGCAGCAGCTGATTTCATTTTCTGTTGGAGCGGTATGATTTCGGGCAGAGACGTACTTAGCCCTTCTCGTCAACTGGAGAGTGAGTACTTTTACCTTTATTTTTGTTACTTGGTCGCCCTCGTTTACACTACACATTACCTTTGTTATTTCAAGGGTAGTTGTTTCTGAAAAGGAAAACCCCTACTTTGCGGACACCCTGTATATACGAGCGTTATGCTTGGAGAGTATTTCAATGCGGTTACTTGATTTCGTGAGGTAATATTTCATAGTATATAGTTGTATAGCAAGTATATTATATCCTATGAGTTCGTATCAAGAGCTATTATAAACAGTTATCAAACATTGTTGATAGTTTTTCACTAGAGCGAACATGCACGTTGCTGAAATCTGATTTTTTTTTTCATGGAAAGCCCAAAAGTGCACTAACGGTTCTGAGAAAACCTACGTATTGTTGATGCTATTTTTTACACAAAAAATTGTACTCGAATTTGTTTCAAAGGCGTGTCAATCTAGATGGCGCCATTTTTTCTCATTATTTTGTGATGTTTGGTGTATCCTGGGAGTTATTCAATTATGATATCTAAAGCCATAGTGATGTAGCATACCCCCTAGACAACATTCCATTTTTAATATATTTGCAGTTTCATACATCCCTGTGTCGAAGAAAAAGCGTAGTTTATATTCGTTCATTAAAAAACTATTTTGTCCAAATTAGCCAGTGCAGAAGTAGGGTACGTTTGAAAACTTATTGTTATATTAAAAATTTATTAGGTCGCAATTTTGGCTCGGAATTTTAAGTAGTGAAAAATACTCAGATTAACATTAATTGTAAAACAGCTTAATGTTTGACCAGTGAATCTGTGATTTGGCTTATTTTGATACCCGTCCTGTAATCCTAGATGTGAACTTTGAACACTTATACGGTAAAAACGCATTTTCGGGAGATAATCTAGCAGTGCTTAAGCTTCTTTTATTCCATATTTAATATTCCACTGGACCCTTCGCATTTAACGCTCATTGAAAATCAATTTAAGTTTTCTACCGGTTGCAATTATACCAAAATGAATTTAGTATGCAGTAGTAGACATATACGTGACTTCCTTGATTTCGTTACGCCAGATCATAACAACTATAATTAACACTATCAGTTTTCAAAACACAACACTACCCAATAGTATGAATAAAATCTCGACTCATGGGATGTGCGGTATGTAATATTTTAATCCAAAATTGCGTGAGTCGTTCAATATTAATACTGTGTTGGCCATTAAGACTTGTTTCTCCAATATCTTTATGATGAAATTAAATAGTTCCGATTTTTATTTTAATTCTTTATATGTCATATATGAAAATCGTATATATGATAGAGGCGCAGGTGCATGTCTCATAAATTCCTCTCACCTTGGTGAAGATTCATGTTTGTGCACATCCCGACTATCACGAGGTGTGAAGGGAAAGGAACCCTAAGGCAATCCCGTACTATGCACACAGCATAGCGCAATATATCACCAGGTTACAGAAGATAAAACTATTATTATATATAGCCGAGTAATCTTTTTTTTTTTAAACCTACCCCGCATTTTGCATACAAGGTGTCCCAAAATTCATGGATCAAACGAAAAGAGCTGATAGGGGGGTTATTTCCAATCAGAAACACCATATATGTCCTTATCAGGTTGTACATGGTTTTTGAGTTATCGCCATTTTAGGAATTTGTATAAAATCGCCGCTACTTTTGAGACTTTACTATTTTTCTGGAGCAATTTTTTGTTAGTTCTGGATGAGCTTTACAGAATATGTGAATGGAGTATCGTTGAAAAAGCTCGTCGGTAAAAAATTAGTCCAGTTAATGTAGGTATAGCAAATGACTGAACCGTAATGTTGTCTAGTGTCAAAAAATATTACAGCATATTTAACGTCGTACAAAAAATTGCTGGGCAGATACAGTGTCCATACTTATGAAAAAACTTTTACATATTATGATAATAATAATGGCCTTCCAAAATACCTCATAGATAATCAAATACCCGAAATAGTTCTTGAGCAATATGGGCAAAATACTGAAGGTACCCTAAATCTCGAAAATATCCATATTGTGAACTTTAGGGAACATATCCTATAAAATTTATTGAGAAATAACATAACTTTAGAAAAAATAGTATAGCCTCAGAACTAGCTGTTTTTAAAAACACTTAAAAATGGCGACAACTAGAAATCATGCTCAATCGGATCAGGACATATGGTTTTCTGACCCGTCTATCACCCCCCTTTTGTTTGATCCATGGCGTTCGGGACACCCTGTATATAAATTCTCTCCTCTGGGGCTGGCAAACTTCTAACAGTTGTTTCAAGCTTGCTGAGAGTATTGCTGTATGGTTAATATACTCTTAATTTTCACTTGATAAGTTATTATCTTTTTCTTTCAGGTGTCCAGAAATGGTGAGGCGGCGTCGTAGTCTTGTTCCACATGCAGCCACGACGCCACAATTCGTCACAGCGACGCAGTCAGGTTCCTCAACATTCAGCACCTCTAGATAACAACCCTTACCAGGTAAAAATGCGTAGATTATTAATTTAGAGAATATTTATTCCCATGGCTGCGTTAACTCATTCAGATAACTGTTTTTTACGAAGTTTAGCAACTTTTTGGTAAAATTTAAGTGTTATGACTTTGTTAAAGATTTGTCTTAGCGGTATAATAATAATAAAGGACTTTTGAAATCTCATCTACTACAGCTACTCTTACAGCGAACACCACTGTCTGGAAGAGAAACATAAATAATTGAATATACCTACACAATTAAACAAGAACAAACAAAAATAAAACTTTCAAGAATGATCCCGTAAAAAAATCTAACTGGCAGTGAAAGAAAAAACAATAATAATAATGCCTTTATTCCTTGCAGCGTGACGAAGTTTAGCCAAACAGCTACTCCTACCTTAACCACAAAGAAAATAGGAAAAAATACACATGTTACAAAAAAATAAAGTTCTTAAGAACAACATAGACTGAACGAGGCAAATGCAGGAACCAATATGAAACGTTTAAAAAACACCATAAATTCTGCCCTTTCTTCTGAATAAATACGGTACGGTAGTTAGCAAAGCACGATTTTTTTTTATTATGCTGTTTTGAACTGCATGCACTGGATGATTCATCGAATATCCGACGCTTGAGGAAAGCATGTAAGTTATGAAAACATATCGGTTATTCATTCCTTGTCCGGTTTGGATACAAATATTAGAGAAACTTTTCCATGAAAAAATTGAATAAAATTTTGAAATTCTGTGGTTAGCTTCACGTCAAAATCGATAAAAGAACTAAGTCATGACTGTCAGTAGTCAGTGCTGCCGAATTACTACGGTTCACTTTAGTAGCCATAAAAACTCTTGTTTGTTTTTCCAACCATCCTTGTTTGCTGTCACACTCAAAAATAACGTATCGGAAGTCTTAACGATTCGTTAGCTTCGTTGCACTAAAAAGTCACCACCATTAAAACAGACAACAACCTACCTTTTGTTCGTGGAAGCGTTTACAAATGGTGACCTGCCATTTCTTCTGATGTACTGATTGTTTCTAGTTCTAAATTAGTATCAACAAATTCTTGCGGCGTCCATATTATTTATATTTTCTATTCGTGACTGCTTTGACATAAAAATGGAAAAATACCATCAAGAATACACAGATTTAATAGCAGTTTATGTAAATTAGGTATATCTAAATAAATCATCACACCAAATACCTCACGGCAGATACATCGTAAAAATCACATAAAATATATAATCGAAAAAACTCCTCCCATGTTTTTCTAAGAACGTTTTGACGTACCCGTTTGCCACCTAACAGGATTTCTTCTACACCATGCCGGCTTTGAAGATATCTCATATTTCATCCGGCCCACCAGAATATTGTTCGAAAGTGTGTAATCCGATAAGGAAACGCTTTATTAATTCCATTTCGGTGTATTAATGGGACTTTATTTTGTTTGTGTGCTTTCCGACGATTTTTTATATCAGAAATTTGAGAATAGGTGAAATTTATTTGAAAGTACTTTTTTGTAAATTAAACTGTTATTTATTGGTTGTATGGTTACCTTTTAATGGTAGAGTTTCCAAAGGACGTTCTCCCAAATACAGGGTATTTGAAAAATGCCAAGTAGTACTTTTGTAGAAATTTTAGGAAAGTTCCAGTATAAACATATCGTCGGCTTTCTCACTAAGTGTCCTAACCAACGTTTAGTCAATTTTACAGGAGAGCAAGAAAACGAAATCAGCGTGTGGATGAATGAGCATTGTATGTAAAGTTTATATACAGGGTGTCCGCAAAGTTGGGGTTTTCCTTTTCAGAAACAACTACCCTTGAAATAACAAAGGTAATGTGTAGTGAAACGAGGGCGACCAAGTAAAACAAAATAAAGGAAAAAGTACTCACTCTCCAGTTGACGAGAAGGGCCTAAGTACGTCTCTGACCGAAATCATACCGCTCCAACAGAAAATGAAATCAGCTGATGAGCTACCGAGCAGACGCAGAAACCACATTGATTGTCTTACACTTAATGGCACATCTTCTAACAAGGAAGGCAAAATGTTGCGTAAAAAGTCTAGGTATTGCATCCCGTCCAATCGATTTGGGAGAATAAATGGTCCAATGAGCATACCGTTCACCATGCCAGCCCAAACATTCACCGAAAATGTTTATTGAAAATGTGCCCGACGGACAGCGTGCGGATTTTCTACTGACCAAACATGAGTGTTGCGAAAGTTATTCGCCCCATTACGCGTGAACGTAGATTCGTCTGTCACCAATATGCACTTCAAAAAGTCCGGATTATTGTCATGTTGATGCAACAACCACTCACAAAACCGCATTCTTGCTGGAAAATCGTCAGGTTGAAGGGCTTGTACACGTTGGACGTGAAACGGATACAGCCCCTCTTCACGCAGCGTTTGCCACACTTTAGTTTTTGATACTTGCACTTCTCCAGTGCTTGTTGAGGGATTCTCGTCTACGCGATTACCTCTAGACGCGTGACCGTAACCGTCGGTTGAAGGTTGCATACTGACCTGACACACTGACCCCGACCCAGTTCTGTCGTCGGGTTAAGCTCGTGTCCTAGTACCAGTCGGGGATGTTGCGACTACAGGACGGTATTCAGATATTTTTGATGTTGCAGAGCCCTTTATCTCGGTTCCCTTAAGACATTGGTGTAGGTATATGGTACTAAGAAAATTGCTTATGTTTTCAAGATCTACACGTCGTGTAAAGGAAAACCCCAACTTTGCGGACACCCTGTATTTCCGAATTGAAAATTTCAGTTTATCAGCCCATATTCATTGTCGATCATATTCTGTTTCAATATTTGCGGTAACTTATCATGTTATTTTGGAAAAAAATTGAAGACGCACATAGAGGTCACTTCGTGAGAATTTTCAGAAGATTTTTATCAGATATATATTTTTATTAAAGTTCTTGTTATTATACTTTTTTAAGTTATACAGAATTTATTTGATTTACTCATAAGCAAAGAATCATATTTCTAGCCAAGGAGGCGATTATCTCAGAAAATTTTTTAGTTGTTTAATTTTTTAAGTAATAGTCGTACAGCAGAGTTTATGTAAAAAAGTTCAGATCGACTTTTGAATTTTTGCTACTTCCTACAAAATTTCCCTGAATATCCTAAAATTGACATAGATTAATGACACAAATATTAGGTGATGGGATGGAGAAAACAACTCGGAACGTCAAAGCAATTTTTATTGAAAAAGAAAAGAAAAACAACTAACTTGAACATTATCTTTTGACATATTACCAGCTAATGTTGATGTATATGATACATAAAAAAGCGAAGGCATAATTATTGATAATTCATTCCGTTTCATGGGGCAAATTTCTAAAAAAATTTGAAATTCTGGTAAGCGTACAACGGGTGTTGGATCTTCACATAACGAAATTAAGTCGGAGTACTCCTTTTTTGTTATCTTTACTGGATCCTTATTAAGTAGTTCTAGTTTAATATCATTTATCATTTACTATTTCGCGTCAGTCTTTTTGTCATAATTAGTGTCGTGGAGGCTAGACTTAAAAAATATTGTGGTGGACATGTCTTTTCTTACCATAAACTCGATAATGCCGGTCCATTTAATATTTTGCCATTTCTTAGTTTGCCATGTGGATAACATTCTTAAATCTTTTGAAAGTTTCTTGAACTCAATAAAATCTGAAAAATTCATTGGGATTACTAAATAAGGTTGACGTCGTCTGACCAATCGAAAAACTGGTTAGACTTGTGAGGGTTCAAAAAAATCTCCAGCTCCCTTTATCGCCCTATGAATTGCACTATGGGGAGAGTCTCTCTCACTTTGACCTTGATCGACCATCGAGGTGCGTATACTATGGATTATTTCACACTGAGAGACCTATCTTCATTTCTCTTCGTGAGAATTATATATTTACCTTTGCAGATAAGACCCCCAGGGATTTTAATGGTGTGTTGCTTACACTTATAGATATATAGTTGTTATGCATCTTCGTCAGATTAACCAGCATGGAATAATACACCTATATGCGGGTTATCTCAATTTTTGGTACTTTGTCAGTTAGGACACTTCGTGAGAAAGGCGACGATATGTCTACAGGTATGTTAGAGGCCAGCATGTTGCTTAACCAAAAGTTATACGTCTTCCAATGATTTTCAGACATGAAATCTCAAGTTTTATTTTTGTATAAATGCTGTACAAATTTTCTCCAAATCCAGCGAAATGAAACTCTGCAACTATTAGGTTTACATTTTTTAATATCTGGCTATTTTATCTGCACATCACATTCAGATTTAAAACTAAAAATAAATTATCTGTTGATTGTTGATACCGTATAGTCTACATGAATACGACTATTTCAAGTCCTATCATATGTTCCATCTCAAACAAGATCGTGCTAATAAACCCAGAACGGAACCTTTGTAATAATTGTATTGTTAGTCCATGTTGCTAGTACAAAAATGAATAAGAACATCTTTATTTTTACATAGTGATTACAATATCGATAAATTAAAAGTTTTGCATATCCGGGTCGAAAAATCATTTTTACAACCGAACATCACGATTCTCAACTACAGGTATGTACTATTTATACTTCTTGTGTGACTCATTATATTCTGTAATTAAAAAGATAGTGAAAGAATTAATCAAGCACCGAATACATTGAAGTTCCTTCAGTAGCCCTTATGCTAACTAAGTACGCCTTATTTGTCTTTTCACTTGGATGAATAGGAAGGATGTTAAATATGAAAAAAGGTGACAGATCTGAGGCCTCCTTGTTACCTTTAGTTATCAATAACTAATGTGACGCTTGATGCTGAATGTATTTTCGGTAGACACAAGAAGCATAGTGGGTAAGTCCCTCTATTTTCTGAGAACGTAATGGCGTTAATGTCCTTGAAGACAGTGCGGTAGCCGCAGATCGATCAACGGCGTCATCTTCCTTGAAAAGAATATTGGACAACGCTCCTGTCACTCTCATCTGTGAAAATTATTAATGCTAGTAGTTACTGT